CGGGGCGCGGCTGCGGCTGCGGGGTCCCGGCGGCCCGGCGGGCTCGGCCGCGGAGCCGGGGCTGCAGCCACTTCCTGCCCGGCCAAGTTCCCTGTTCATTTCGGCCCGGGGCAGCGCGCTTCCTTCGCCGGCCGGAAGCGACACGGGCCCGGGGTCCTCTTTCAAAATGCAGCCTCTAGACGACAGAACCCTTCCCAGCGCTTCATTTGTCTCGGGACGACTCAGTGCCTGTTCACCTGTGACAGCTACAAGTTTTGAGGCCTGTAGACGATAAAAACTTTGCAGCTAGTGAAAGTATTGATAGGTATCAATACTATATTTATGTCCCCGCTACCTTCTTTCACACGGCCTTCCAGAATCAAGATTCTGGTCTACAAGCGACCTAGAGTTTGGTTAATACTAATTATTAAGTAGTTTCAACTCCAGGAGTTTGAACTGTGTTTGAAGTTTATATCTTTTAGTCCCTCCCCCCTCCCCCGTGACTTTTTCAAGACTTTCATTTGTCAAGTCTGAATTGGACTAAATCTCGAGTTTTGACATGTGTGTTGCAAACTTTTGGGCTAGTGTGCGCCGAAATTTTCTAGACCCAGTCGTTCCTTTGTATTTCAGAGTGTAGTTCTAATAAAATTGTGCACTGTTAGTGTTGTGCTGTTGTCCAAAATAAAAACAGGATGTATTAAATGTAGGCATTGCTGAAAAAGTCTTTGAATATTTTTTACATCAATGAATGGCAAACAAATTCATTTATATATTGATTATTTCTCTTTGGGCTTTTTCTATTCCATACATTGGTAGTTTTTATACCGTACCAAATGTGACGTTTTTAGTTACTGGGGCAGTGTCAGCAAGAGCACGCAAACCTTAAGGGCCATGGGAATCATCTGGGCTCTTGCTAAAAATGCAGCTTCTAATTAAGTAGTTCAGTGATACTCTTCTGCATTTCTAAAATGCTTCTGGAAAAGAAGATCCTTTGAGTACCAGGAATGTAGGTAACTTCTATGCTAAGAAATAACTCAGTGTATTTATCCATGAACATGTTCCTTTTAGTGATCCACCCTGGGTGACATCTTGGCTAAACGGTCAGTTGACAGTGTCAGTTGAGAAATCTTGCCTAGACAAAGCCATTAGGCTGAGTGGGAAATGTAGATGGGGCAGGGAGGGATAGAAAGTCGTAAATACCTTATGTGGAAGCTGTGTGGTGCTCTCAAAAGCTGGCCTGTGATTTTTCCTGTAGCTTGTATTTCTGTCAGAAAGACTTGTCTGTAAGTAATTGGGTTTTGTCAACGTATCTATAGGCAGGTAGTCTATGTAATTCTATTGCTGGGTGAATTTTTTTTATTTTTTAAAATTTTTTTTATTACTAGAAGTATTGAGTGCTTTCTCTCAAACTTTGACTTGCAGCCTCAGTTAGTTGGCTGTTGGGTTCTTGAGCCTTGGAAGGAAATTTTTAAACAATTGAGAGTCACACTTTCTGAGGGTGTCCTAAGTAGATCTAGCTTTTTTTCTAAGGTCATTTTTTATCATGTTAATTAGAACTTAAAGTGTCACATATAACCTCATATGTACATAAATACTGTACTGTTTTCTTTAATGATGACAGGGATTGATCTCTGGCATGCTGAGTACTTAGGTTTTTAAGAACCTTGTGGAAGTATATTAGCAACTGCTCCCAAATTTTTAGTAACTTCAGTTTACTCATTACTTTTGTTTCTTCGTGTTTTTAAATTGTATGCTTAACAGTTCCAGGCACTATTCTGATACCTTTATGTCTCTTAGAACTCGTTTAGTCCTCATAATAGCCTTTAAGGGAAAGGAAGCAGAGATGGAGAGTCCCTGAGCCTTGGTTCACACAGATAAAGGAGAACTGGTATTCTGACTTATTGACTCTAGAGTTTGTCTGTACACTGCCTTGTTAAAAGCAAATTGGTGTTTTGGTTTTTTTTTTTTGTTGTTATTTTTTGTTTTTGGGTACTGGGAATTGAACTCAGGACCCTGCACTTGCCAGGCAGAAACTCGTGCTGCTAAGCTATGTGCCAGGTCTGCCTGTGTAATACTCTTTTTAAATCTTTTTTTTTTTGGTCTAGTATTGTTGAAAATTAGGAGCTTTTATTTTTCATTTTAAAAGTAAAATTTTTCTCTTTCATATCCTATATTTTATTCTATTCTAGAATGAAACCCTAAATAGTTATAATCTTTTCTGAATAAGATCTTGGAATCTGCAAAATTGTATTTTGCTTGCACTTGTTTGCTGGATCAGTCTGAATTTGTGTCATTTACATATGCTTCCTTTTTTTTTTTTTTTTTGGTACAGGGAGTTGAACTCACGACCTCACACTTCCTGAGAAGCACTGTGCCTATTGAGCTGTATCCCTGCCCCAAATATAACTTTCTTTTGATTCACTGAGTTTCTCAGTCTTATATTCCCCACCCCCATAGCAGATTTAGTTTGTGTTTGCTATCCTCATATTTAGATTTAGGAGTTTACTGCATTTTTCTATAATTGTTATTTTAAATTTATTAACACTTATTAGATTTAGGGACTGTCTTTACTGACCTTTTATTTGGTCAGTGAGGACAATAAAAACAAAGTATGGATCATTATCATATTTTAATATTGCAAAGTAAGGCCAATCCTAGAATAAAGAATTATCTTTTAAGTGGAATAATTTGTGATTCATAAAAAAAAAAACCTTCCTTTAATCCTGTCCCTATAATTTGTTTTATTTCTATACATCTGATAAGTGGTGCTTTTATATCTGATCTAAACATTTCTCAATATGGAATGATTAGTGGAAAGGTAGTATGTATAGTATACTGGAACTTGAGAAATGTGAGTGGTAGATTTGGTAAACAGGGAGAAGGGAGTGGGGGGTCTGTGGGCTGCTTGGGTAACAATGAGTTTGGGAAGGAGGTCAAGATAAGAATAGGTATCAGACATAAATGCTTCCTCAAAAACACATTATTTAGGAAAATGTTAAGCATTCTACAGATGTTATACAAACATTTAAAAATAATACTTAGGGTTTGTTAACATTAAACATTACATAAAATCAACCATAAGAGGCTAAGGGGTTATTCTTAGAATTGTCCAAATTCTTTCTTATTCTTTTGTTATTACAGTTTGTGGTTGTGACAGCCTTTCTGTATGTGGCTTTTCCTTTTCTTACCCTGTTGCTCTGCAGTGAGAGACCTGGTATTTCATACTGTCCCGGCCTCCTAGCAGAGTGGCCAACTCAGTACTTAGAGTAAACTTATGGGAGCATTTGTTGGATGTGCTCATGGTCCTCTTCTAATTTATATTTTCACTTACTAAAAATGATCTTAGTTTTTAATTTTTTAATGAATTTTGTATTACTGTGGTATAGGTAATAATGCCATGCCACCAGTTAGCCTTGTAATGCCTCGATTTCTCATCTTTAAAATGGTTCATCATAACAGTAACTACCTCACATGGTTGAGAAGTAAATGAGTGTACGTGTGTGTGAGTGTGTAAATATAAAATGCTTCAGACTTTCATGTAGGTGTTACATCCCATGATCTACAGTGGATAGTTGCTATGTGTGGTTGATTTTTTTTTTTAACCACAAATTAAGAGTAAGTACATTTAAATAAACTGAATGGAAATTACATGTTTGCAAGAAGGATGTATGGGTCAGGCAAGAAGAGTTTATACTTCTTGGATAAAATATAAAACTGATATAGAAATGCTTTTATCTCTTTGGAGAATTAAATATAAATAATGGATTGACAGCTTAGGTCTCTTAAGACAGGAAAGTGAGGTTTCTGAGAAAGTTGTCCTAGTGATGGTAGAAAAAGATTGGTTTAAGGTTTTTCAAGAATAATGTGAAATCGAGTATAGGATTACTTTTTTTCTAAACTCTTAAGTATGTTTTCGTAGCTGACTCTTAATCTTTCAAGCAGTTCTTTATGTTCTTCAGACCTGGCCTACAGACCCTTAATCTGAAACCCATAACCTGTGTGTCTCAGAAGTAAAAGAGCTTTTTGGAACTGAAAAACTTAAGATGGCACATACGGCATACATAGTGAAAGATCCTGTGGGTAGAAGCAACCATCCCATAAATATATGCATGAATTTTCACAAAAAATTATACATATTGATATTAAGTAGCATAGCAAAGACTATAGAAAGCTTATATTAGTTCAGGTCAAATTTAATATCAGTTTTGATTTTCAAAGTTTTTTTTATCTTTGGTGATAAAGGGTTGGGTTTGTGTACATATGTTTTTTATAATTTAATATTTGATTGTATTCAGCATATTGTCTCTGTCATTGATCAGATAGAGAATTCTTGCAGTGGCATATAGTAGGTGCTCATTAGATGGAACAGAGCCTATTTGATATTATTCTGTAATTGCCTCACTCTTGAGAGGCTACGGCAGGAGGAGTACATATTCAAACCATTCTGGCTAATTTACTAGCTACTTAGTAATACCCTGTATTTTACAAAGTGAAAAAACAAAATAGGGGTTGGAGGCAAAACATGCATTTATTTGGATGTAAAACATTTGAAGGTAATTATCATTCAGTCGTTATTTAACATAGATGTAGTTTCTGTGGCTATGAAAATACTAGTACCTGCAGATTTATCATTTTTGTTGACTTAGTTGCCTAAAATAGGTGGTTACTGGCTTATACCTTTTTGAAACAAAAGCTTTGAAGAGATCTGAAATAGGCATTATAACTAATTTCAAGT